CCCATGACCCACCCCTGCCCCACTCCCTCCCTTACTGTGGGGGCCTCGATCTACCCCCCTACCGCCCCTTTAACTCCCACACTTACCTACTGGGTGGTGTTTGTGTGTGCATCTGTATGTATGCATGTCTGTCTGTCCTTCACTCCCAAGCCACAGTACCCCACACCCTTCTAGGATAAGGAACCCCGCTCCCCGGGCTCCAACCCCAACCCCCACCACACACACAGCCCCCCACACCTTCACAAATTCCACCCCCCTCCAACCATACAAAATACCTGCATACTTTTGCATAACTTCAAGGTTTTCTGCACATAATTATGAGTTTTTACCTGTGTGATTAAAATCACAATTAATTGGGACTAATTTTTTTAATTGTGCAACTAATCATGATCAAATTTTTTAATGGTTTGACAGCCCTAATATATATATTAGGGCTGCCAGTTCTGTGGCACTATAGAAAAATCTAGTTTTAGCTCAGCTGCTAGTAGAGTAAGTTTAATAAAATGGTAAGATTAAACTCTACTCGCTTCAGATCATAAGAACATCAGATGATTAAGTTTCCTGACAGCATAACCACAGTGCTTAGCTAAAACAAACAAACCAGCAAGTTCTTTTGAGATGGCTTTATTTGCAAGTTACAGAAATATGGAGAGCAGAAATGTACAGCTTGTAACTCCAGTTTACAATTTCCATAACTAAATGTACCTTTAGCATCAGATTTCCTGCCCAGTAATTTGTTATAAAGCACCATGCATTTTATTAGTGTGCTCTGAGGTCCCAAAACAAGATTTTTCTCCTTGACAAAAATTTAACCTTTTATTAAAAAAAAAAGTAAAGAAGGTTCCCAGGTGAGTGGGAAAGGTAGTACCTTTGTTTGCTAAATAATAATGCCCATTTACCCTCTCCAGACAAACTGTGTGAAAGTAAGTGTTACAAAGCCGTTCAAACAGATTCACTTTGGCCTGTGTCAGTGCCGACAGTTAACCTGCTCTATGGACAGTTATAAGAACTTTCACAAATTCATTCTGGGAGAACAAAACCAGCAGCAGCAACACTCTTCAGATAGTCTTTCAGTCTTAAACTTTGAAGAAGAGAGTTTAATATCTACATTTTTTGCAATTAATAGCTCCCAGCTTAGAAACTGTTAGCACAAGGACTCAGAGGAAATTAAATGCTTTTTTGAAAGAAGGGACCGCTGTGACCTTCCTGCTGCAGGTACGTCAACACATGGTGAGAACATAGCACCTGAGTTCAGTAGACAGGACTTGCAGGCTCGGGCCCATTTCCCACCTACCACTTTTAAATGCAATGAACATGACCAGTTTAAAATTACTTTGCAGCTCAGCAGCAAAGTCATATATGTGAGTAAGTCCACATGACAGGACATGACCAGCCCTTCTTAAAACAAATGGCCACTGATTAAAATTGACACCTGTGCTTTTGAATTATAAGTGCAAAGGAAAAGCTGTTCAAATGATGTAAGTTCATTAGCTTCATCCAGTCTAGTACCATCACCCTGTTCAAGAGCGGAAGAGATCAAGTTAATAGAAAAAAAAAGAAGAGATCAAGTTAATAGAAAACAAAAACATGCCTTGCCCTATCTTCAGAGGCTAATACTGGCTTAATCCTCTTGTATGCTGTCTATGTCCCAATTTGGCCAGGAGAGTCCTGGATTTTGCAGGCTGTCCTGGTATCTTGGCCGGTTGGTGAAAATTGAAACACAAGTCCCAGAATAGTCCAGCTAACATCATCTCATCTTTCTCTACCAACTCTGCTGCACACGAGTGTGTGGCAGCAGAGCTCACCTTAGGGAAAGTGGTGTCCCCCTGCAATTTCCCCAAGTCAGCAGCACTGCCACAGGCAGAGGCAGGTGAACAGGGGCATGGGGCACAGTCCAGCAGGTGCGCCAGGCAGGCGGGCAAACACCACTACTGCTGTGCGGGAGCAAGGCAGGTGGACTGGAGCAGGTGCCACGCCACCTGCATGTGCTTGGCCCACCTGCTGAGCAATGGCTGGAGGCAGGGGCTGGCTGGGCACTGCTCTATTGCACCTGTCTTGCTTTCACACAGCAGCAGCAGTGTCTGCCCTTCCAGCTAACTGGCACACCATGCTGCTCCACCCTCACTTGAAACAGTGTCCCGGATTTCCTTAAAAATATGGTCACCATACTACACCCATCAACATGCAGTCCACTAGAACCTAAGGAACTTAAAATTCCAGGTTAGTAAGAGCAACAGACATGGTTTGCTCTGCTGTAGAGAGTGGGAAAGGAAAAGGACTGACAGATGACAAGGAAATTATTTTCACTATATTCCTTTTGGTGGCTTCCTTAGATCCTTCACAGGAGAGTTGAGCAATGACTGGGGGAGGGAGTGGGAATGGGAAAGCTGACACACAGGACACTATCCTGTTCCCAGAGTGAAAACTTCTTTAAACAGAGGAACAAAATCTCCAAGGCATTTTAAAGGGAAGGGGCCTTAAGTGTTATATGAAAGGTCTGGGTTCAGACTGGTCGATAAGGGAGAACTCAATTGCAAAGTACTTATAAACCATTGGGGGGAGGTACTTATAAACCATTGACTACATCTTGTCAAATCAATTTTGGTCCTACATTCATTTTTCGTGGAATTAACATGCCAAAAGATCACATATCAGTTCCAGAAATTACTCTGAAACAGAGAAAGAGCTTGACAAATCCTTTCCCCGCAGGGCTTGGTCTTGATATCGTGTGGCTGCATATCTGGGCTACCAATTTTACAGAGTTGCCCAAGGTCCATTAATTTATTTCCAGCTTCAACCCCAAGTGAGGCTTACTATTGGTTCTGGGGCCTTAGCCATTATTTAAACAATCCCTGGGTGGTGAGAAATTCCAAAATTTCATGAACCTTAGAACGAATGGTAGATGGAAAATTCTTCCTATAGTTACCTAACTAGGGAGTAGATGCAGCATGTGGTCTGAAGCAACACACATAATGAATGGTTCAAGCTAACATGCCAGAGCTTGAAAATTATTCAGTGAACACTAATAAGACAAAAGAGATCTGCATCTCCGAATTTTTCCAGGCAAACCATGTACCGTATTTCCCTGCATATCACATGCCCCCAAATGCACTGTTTGGGGAAGGCAGAATGAAGGGAAAATGATTTTGGCAGAGCCGTGGCTGAATTCTGACTGCAGGGGATCCCAACTACACGGCTAAACCCTGACTGGCACTGCTTAGGCAAAAGTGACAGCATTAACCCTCTCAACTCCTGGCTGCTCAGCCAAAAACTAATGCCAATTCTGCAGCAGCTATCAAAGAGTTAACAGTGTAGTTTTTACTTGGGCATTTCATTCCTCCTCCATTCCAGCACAGAAAATTAGCTTCCCCACTTAAGCTACACAACCCAATTTTCAGAAGGCTAATTTTTTTAGGGAAAGGTACCGAGGTATGCAAGTTCTTAGAGTAATAGTGCAAACAGGCCTGCTCTTCCCACAATACTGATATTGAGAAATGCATAGAGAGGATAAATAAGGAAAGGGCATTTACTCTTAAGTCCGTCCCTGACACAGACTACAACAGTGCTTTATTGTATGCCCCAGAAGACACATTTCAGTTCTCTTGGTACAAGGACTGGAAGAATCCACGAATGCTGCTTCACTGCTCTGCCAGTCAGGGCCACTTGGACTGAAATTCCTCTCAGCCTGTTTGCAAAGCTAATAATGCTGCTCTTCCTAATATATATAAAAAGCCCCCAAATCTGGTGTATCCTAAACTAGGACACATTTTCAGAAATGGACATGACTACTTATGACCAGATATTCCCCCTCCTCCCCACATTATAGCCAGAATAATACTGTTCTTGCCCTACATGGCATTTTTCCTTTCAGGCTCTCAGAACACTTTATAAAACAGTACATCTCGCAACAGCTCTCTGAGGTAGGTATTAGACACATTTTACAAATGAACTAGCTGAAATAAGAGGTTAAGGTCCAAATTTACATCTACTGACCTTATCTGAGTGCCCAACTGGTTACCCAAGCCTGATTTCCCTCAGGACTGCTGAGCAGTGAGACCTGCGTTGATCTCAGGTAGTTAAGGTGCTCGGCACCATCAAAACTTGGTCCCTCAAAGCAGCAATAGACGGTCACCCAAAACTGGAGGCCACTTCTAAAGTTTCTGACCTAAAGGATCTACAGGGAGCGGTGGGGAGCTAGGAACAAAACTCAGAACATTTATCTTTCAACCTCACGCTCCAGTCAACAAAACGTGCTGTGAAATATAAAACCATGCACCTTATTTTCCAACATGGGTAATGTCAATTTTTTTAAATGTAAGTTTAGGTTCAAAGAGTTTTACTTTGTTCCACATCTACAATTCATACAGCAGAGTTTAAACAGTGCAGCATCAGACATGATCATCAGTGAACAGAAGGCTGACTTCTAGGATATCTTACTTTTCTCTTTCCCGCGATGTGGAGGAGGCAGCAGGAGCCAACGTTCCACAGATCAGACCCTTCGGCTCCTATTTCTCAGGAGAGAATTCAAATGTGCACAAATTTACTTGCTTCTGTAGGCTCATCAATCAAAAATTAAGAGATATAGAACTTTTAACCAGCTAGAGAAGGGTAGGGCATACCGTTCCCCTGTGAAGTGGAAAAGATTCTTAACAGGACAAAGTAAACTGCAGTACATAGGATAATAATAGGATAAACTGAATAAATAGGATGATGAACCATTTTAGAAACAGGATTGTAATTTACGCAACTTTGGTCAACGCTCCTATTTGATTTCCAGTGGTTTCCCACAGCAAAGCCAATATTTTCTGTCCTCCTTAGCATCAACCTGGAACCTTGTTAAGTAGTCCCATTAAAACTGTAGCTCCCAACAGAGGTGCAAATTCCTCACTGATCAACAGTGACAAGCGTCAAAAACTACCTGGGAAATTCCCCCCAGTATGTTTTCTTATTTAGAAGGAGTTACACCTTCCTGGGATGGGAAGGGGATTACTGGAGTTTCCTTTACCAGTTAAATCAACCCAAATGGTACTTGGATTCATTGTTTAAAAAGTTATAGCTAAGACCTTCAAGGAGGCCTACAGGGAAGGTAAGTGCCCAACTCCTGTTGAAAAATGCCTGTTGGTACTCAACTTGCTATGTTAGGTCCCTTTAAAAATACAGTCTACATAAATTGTTTACCACAATTCAATTATCAATCAAAGTTGTTTTTACTTTTTGCTTAGAAACCAGCAGACAGAGGGAAGAGAAAATAGATGCAGAGAACCATCAGTGATCTACTTTCAGCCTCCATCCATCCGATCTCTCCAAACCTGGTCTGGCAGGTTGAGGGGGAAAGTGAACTCCTGCCTCAAGAATACTTTGTGTATGTCTGTTAGTTTTAAATATCACCCAGCAGCAGCTTGGTGTTTGACAGTGCTTTTTCTAATCTCTTATTATCTGAGGAAAGAACATGGGTACACTTTTCTGTCACTTAATTTCTCTGACATGAGTTATAAAGGTATTACCCTTTGTGATGCATCCATTTGGTGGTGAATGATACTTTCTACGTATCTTTAAGAGGCATTTTCCCCTTACAAGTTTTGTCCCTGCTCACATCTCCCTCTCTCGATGGCAGAGATGACAGCGCTCACCATCAGCTACATGTACAATCAATACAGCACTTATACATCAAGGTGCCCAGCAATCACAAAGGTTAGAAATGGAGTAAGAGCTGTAGGATTGAAGATGATCAGTAGTTCTCTTTTTAAGCAAAAAACCCCAAAACCCTGAAGTTCAGTTCATTAAAAAGGCAATCAATTAGGTTAAGTAAATAAGTAAATAAATAAATAAATAAATAAATTACCTACATACATACATACATACATACATACATATATAAATGCCTCACTGAAATTATAAATAAGTTAAAAATGTTTAAACAAGTGACTATAATTTGAATAAATATGTGTTTAAATACGCAAACGCACTTTACAAAAGAGAGTTCCTCTCTTCTCCAGGTTAGCCCATGGTTTTGAGAAGCAACCCCTGTGGTGCTGCTCTAAAACTTTGTGCCTTTACGAAATAAAATATTGCTTTTCTTAGCCCTTTTAGTGCGACTCACTTCCCTCCCACTGTGTGGGATGGTCAGAGATCTACTCATTATTGCTTTTAAACCTGAGGAAAGAGAAAATAGACAGTGTCTATCTTTAAAGAAGCTGCCTGCTAGAAAAGCAGGTTCTCCGCTTGGGCTTTTCAGGAAACACTGTTTCAATTTTGGGGTCTTACTGTATTTTTAAAAAAGGTATCTCCTAGCAACATCTCCATAATCATCCAACTCCATTGCGAGAGGTCTCAGGTTTGGATTAGCTTGGAAGTGATCCCCAAAACATACCACCCTGTATTAAGATATTTACAGCTTGTTTCCAATCCCTGTTCCTCCAGTACCCACCATACCTGGTCATGTGTAACGGTACAGTAGGCACCCAGAAAAACTAGACTAGTTTTGCTTCACATGACTCATCTAGTCTACGGTCATAACAGATAAGGCAATATCAGTCTCCTCTACCTTGGGTAGAAATAGGACTGATTGGAAAGAGCCCTTGAAATCTCAGTAATACACAGATTCATGCAAACTGATAATCACCCCAAAACAGAGTTGTTAAAATAAAATTGATAAACAGGCATCTGCTATGGAATTCAGTTTGCAGATTTAAAAGTCAGTCTCTTACTGACAAAAGGTTTCAAACAGCTCTCAGAAACTTCTCTGTGACTGCAGCCACTTGTGGTCTTGTGAATGACTATTCACTTGCAGGTTCTTTGGTCAACAGACCAGCTCTTGAGGAGTCAAACTAATCCAAGTATAAAGTCTCAGCAATCTGCAGAGGCAGAGGCTGTGCTATCTGGACACGTGGGAACTACTCTGGGATTGGTTGGAAGATGTGGTAGCTCCGCTGAGCTGGGAGAAGCCACTGTTGCAAGATTCCAGGCTTGACATGGATCCCCTGGGACAAAAAAAAATTGACATTTTGTTACACACTTGCACTACTGACGCTTGACTATATCTGAGATTGGAGATAGTTCATTCCTGGAAGGGGGCAGAAAGTGATTTTTCTTTAGTTTGTCCCCAGCCTCATCTTCCCATATACCAAGTGGTCCACACTCCTATATGTCATGAGGAAGAATTTAAATGTCACAGCCATGGATACTGGGACCCTTCCATTCAATACAGAACTTACAACTCATGGGGACAGGTTCTAGTGAGAGCTGCTAGGGGCAGCATACACGACATGTGGAGCAGAGGTTAACCAGAGATCTCAAAAGACTGCGTGGCCCATTATGTGTTAACCAACAAGCTCAGTCTACCAATATGAGGGTAAGCCTTTTTCCTCCCTAACTGACTGACAGTAGAACCAACTCTTTTTTTTTCCTGGTACTGAGAGGCCACATTGAGCTACTGTAGCCACTTTCCCCTTTTCCTTAAGACACTTCAAAGAATCACAGTTTTGGGGAATGCACTTGAATTATTAAAGCAAGCAATTCTGGATTCTTTGCTGCCACCCCAGCTCAGTAGTACTTGGGCAAATCACATCATCACTTCTGTCTCCACTGCCCTCATCCATAAATTTAGACACACTCTCCCTCTCTCCTGGTAGTTTCTTTTGTAGCATGTCCCAGAGAAGTGTCCCTTCTCTTCCCCCTTCCTTTTCAAAAATCAAGGTGTACATCTGTGCTGCATGTGTTGTTGGTGGTACATACATTCAATCAGCTGGCAGCCTCTATCACATGACTACTACCCCTCTCCAGCATCAGGCATAAAGCTTGGCTGCTTTGTCTAGTACCTTGGAACATTCATGATATGAAGTTAATCTTAGACACTGCTTTCCCAAGAGTACATTCAACTCCCCTTCAAGTCCCTAGAGTAACTATTGGCATTTGCCATAGTGCAGTGAGGACAATGAATAACATCTCCTGTGGACACTGAACCAAACTATAATCCTTAAAAAGGGAAAACTTTAATTTCCACCCAGACCAAATAGCAGAGTTTACAGTAGTCCTAACTGCTGCTAACTACACAAAGGAAAGTCTCTCCTAGGGAGAAGTTCATCAGGGAAAAAAAACAGTAAACTGGAATCCATTTAATATATTTTCAACAAAATATAAGTTGCAGACATGTTAAAGGTTATGTATGTCAGGACTGCCAGTCACATTCAGCTCTGCTGGACATGTTCTCTATTGCAAGCCAGACAGTAAATCCCTCTTAATAGGACTCCTACCTGAAATCCTTGGATGCAAGCACTTCATAGTAGTACATGAGTTTACACTTGTGATTGGAAACCTGCAGAGAGGCCAGAACATCATCGACACGAGGAAGGCTGGTGCCAGTACAGGGCAAAGGGCCATGCATTTTCCATTGGAGAATGTAAAAGCCAGGCCAACGGGTCACATGAGATCCCTGGAAGAGATTGATAAAGAGCATCATCAAGTGGCCATCATGCATCTGAATAATAATTAGAGCTTTGGTTGGTGGGGAGAAGGAGAAGGTTTGCTTGGTGGGGTGGGAGACGGTTGTTTAAGAGTCTTTGTTCATATTTTCAAAATTAAAGTCAAAACAAAAAGGGCCCACGCCATCAAACTCCAGTGGCAAGCTGTGGTACAGCTCAGCCTCTCGCACATCACAGACCTAATCCAAGCCTAGTGGGATCGGTGGAAAGACTCCCCTTCATTTCACCGGGCTTTGGACCGTGACTTATGTTACCAGTTTTCAGTGGCTCTAATCATTCCAGAGCATGCTGAAGAGAATGAGTTTAAGCTAGAGGTTACAATACTATTGGATACATGCACAGGATCTAATCTTATGCATATAGCTTTCACCAATGCCTCTTTTCTCCTGCAGTGGAGAATTTCTTACCCATTAATGTTTTTAACATGAGATTTAGGGTGTGCTAAGGTTTCCAAGAAATGCTATGAAGCTCTGCCCTTGTTCAACCTCCACATCTATTCTGCACTGCCCCCTTTAGACATCACACCAGCTCGTTGTGGCTGTTTAGACACCAAGAAGTGGAGGCATGTCCTACCTGGATGCTCTCTCCTTCCCGACAAACCAGCGGGGATTCCATACGGCTGTAATCCACCCCCAGAACCCAAGACTTATCAATCAGCTGCACATTGTCCCCAGCAGCTGAAGTACTTGGTAAGGTAGTTTCTTTGCGATAGGTCTGGGGCGCTCTCTTGGAGTGGAAGAGGCTGAACACCACATCTCCCTTCAAGATGTCAAAGTCCCAGGTGATCACAGATTCACCCTCCAAGATTTCCACAACTATCTAAACAAGAAGCAGCACAAATAAGCTGTATAAGCTCAACTTCAGTCAGAAGCCAACATCCTCCCCACTTTCCCTTGTAGATGCAATTACTGGCACAAATCTCACATCTCCCAAGAGAGACATAGGCTAATCTCAGTTCCCATCTGCTAGGGTAGCTTGTCACAGCTTTAGCTGCACCTGCTTGAGTGGTGAATTATAGTATTATTTGAACTTTTCTTTTATACTCAGCCTCATTTAACCATTGCTTCAGCTTTTATATAGCTTCATTATTATTTGAACTTTTCTTTTGCTTGAGTCTGCACTATCAGCTAGCCTTGAGTTTGCTTTCACAGGCAGCTATATTTCAGCGTTATCACCATAAGTGTGCATAGTGTGAGCCTTGTTAATAGCTCGAATGAAATGAACTTGGCACTAACGGACTAAATCAGAGGGATGACATGATTGGATATATTTATGAAAGATGATGAGAAGGGGACCAATTGGACAGTGCCCAACAGCAGATCCCTTGGAATTTCTGGTTTTGACGGACAGACCAAATTAGGAGTCTGGTTAATTGAGACACCGGTAAGAGACCGGATTAAAATGCGTGCATGAGATGGGTTTATTGGAACAAAGGAATATGCTGACAGGATAAAAACATGAACACAGGGAAGCCAGGGATGATCACAGGGAAGCCAATCAACAGTACCCAGAAATGATGAGTCATCAGTGGAGTAAAATTAAAGAAAAAGCATAAAAAGGGGGCAACAAGGAAGTTAGGTGCGTTTCATCATTTAACATCTGAACTGAAAACAGCCAGTACCCACAGATGAGCACCCTCTACTTTCAGGAACTGATTGGCCACCTTTTCTGTGATGTGGAGTAACATCTGGGATTGGGTGAGACCACTGAATTAAGTATTTCTCTCTCTCTATGTACAAACTATTAATACATTTCTTGTGTTAATAAAGTAAGATTTTAGTTAAATCAAATGGTGCAAGGCATATTCTGTGTTCACTCTGGGTTGATTATGCTTTAGCGATCCTTTAACACCATGGGCACAAAACACATCTTACAGATTCATAGATGTTAGGGTCGGAAGGGACCTCAATAGATCATCGAGTCCGACCCCCTGCACAGGCAGGAAAGAGGGCTGGGTTTTGATGACCCCAGCTAGATGCTTATCTAACCTCCACATCTATAGCCTTATGTGACAGGGAATCTACTCATCCACATTCATCCCAACTCTCTCGTGTCAGAAGTGTCTTATACGTCTTTCTTGCTACATCCTATAGCAGATCTAATAAGTATAACTAGACCAAAAGTGGAGGACTGCTTTAGAGTGGCTGTCTGAAAGGTAAAATGTGTCCCACAGTCCACCTAACTGTTTTATGGGAACTCAAGCAAGCTGAGTCATAGCAATTCATGATCAGAAGCTAGAAACTGGCAAATTGCTTCTCTCTCCAATATTCACCTTTCTGACTGTCTAGGTGTCAGGGGTGTTCCCAGCCCTCTCTCTCTCTCTCTCTCAATGTCACCCTTGCTATCCTAGAGGCAAACATGGATAACAGAAGCCAGGGTATCAGCGTGGAAGCCGATGACATCTGGTTTCCCAGAAAAAGAAGAGCAAGCTGAAGTGTAGGCAGGTAAAAGATGACACTACTGATTTCAGTGCTTCTAAATCCCAAATGGCTGTTCTTCGCTTCTTTAGAACCTTGACATGCTAGTGATGTGACCCTAGGCATGCTCAGAAGAGACCTGTCCTTCCAGAACATAACTGGGACCCCCAGGACTAGCTAGCTAGAATAGAACAATGCCAATTTGTATCCATCAGACCCTGGGAATCACTTCCCTGTCCTCCTCCCTTCCTCAGCATTGCACACTGAGGGCTTGTACCTCATGGGGAGCTCCTTTGAGAACACATGCAGAGTGATAGATGGTTTCTGTCCACAATCGGATGTGATCAGAGTTCTCTGGTTCTTCATCTGTTTGATAAAGTGACTTGGGGACGAGCCCACCTTCAGGGACATTACACTGCAAGAAATGAGAGAGAAAAACGTTTATAACAGAAACTTCTACTACACTGGCAGTTAGGGAAGTACCTAGTTACTGACACAGCATGCCCAAATGCCCAATTGCTCAGTATGAAACACTGGTGCAAAATGTAAAGAATAGCTGCTGTACAATGCCATAACTCCATTGACTTCACCTCACAGTATACCAATAATGCCCCAGACCTAACCTGCACTGATATCTTTAGGACTGTCCTTTGACAACTGAAGCAGCAGAATCATATTTTGACACTATACAATTGGGTGGGACTTGATTACCAACTTGATCTCCTAGGAGACAATGAAATAACCCCTCTTCTCCCCAAAAAGAAAGAAGAAGAAAGTTAATGAGCCCTCTCCTTATATTTTCCTTTTTAAGAAGATAAAGACAAAGTCCTGGGTCACCCAAAGGGAGCTCCAGCAACTCTTAACTAGGAGCTTTTGTTGCCCAGGGGCTAAAAGCTGTTCTCCCTTATATCCATGCAACTGCCAGGATCACAGAGTTATAAGCAGGGATCCGGGTTTTCTGTTTACTGCAAAAGAATGCAGGAAAACATGGGTTTTCTCCTTTGAAGGATAAAAACATGGGAAATAGCAGGTTTCTCCTTGCAGGCTGGCAGCGTTTCAGTCTGCAGAGGGCAGCTGGGAGGTGGGGGGAGTGGGACTCAGGGGAAAGGGGGCACCATGTGCATGTGTCCACACCCCTCTTCCCCACACACCCACCCCATT